TGGTGTTGGAGAAGAGCACTGAACATCCCATGGATATTCAAAGAGAAGAACCTTGACCAGGTGGATTGACATGGTGACTGCTTCAATGGACTCTAGTATGTCAGGAAGTGTGAGGATGGCACAGGATAGGACAGGGTTCAGATCTGCTGTTTACAGGGTCGATGTTGACTCACTGGCACCTCACAATAGCAACAGTTATCTGTTAGGTCCTTGACTGCAGACTTTCTAGTGCAATATGTCTCTTGATATCCTGACTGTTGTTACCAAGTGTATTGATTGTGGATCCAAGTAAGATAAAGTCAATGACAGTTTCAATCTTTTCTCTTTTTAATCTTTCAATTCTTAAGTTTAGATATAGCCTAAATAATTCTGACCTAAAACTAAGAGTGGGGTAGAGGGTGGAGGAAGCAACCTTAACTACCATATCAAGGCCTAATGTCAAGAGAGTAGGGTCCCTAAAAGAAAGGAAAAAAAAAGATAAAAAGACTAGTGTAACACAAGAATGCTTAACCTTTTTAGCATCAAATTGGCAGTCCTTGGCACTATAGGCCAGTTATGCCCCTGGTTGGCTCCTTTTTCTTCCAGATCCCAGGTTCCTATTGTCTCTAACCTTTTCCCTTCAGAATAAGCAGGCCAGGAGAATCCACTTGGGGCAAGGAAATTAGAGTGATGATGTCATTAAAGAAACTATTTTAATACATCAGGATATGCTATTGTTTTCAAGTTTACAAACACAGATGTATCTATAATTTTTAGTATTTGTAAAGGGGGATATACTTACGGAGATTAGCCGAGGATTAAAGACCCAACACATCAGCCAAACAGAGAACCCTATAGCCAGTAGTCAATAAATGCTCTCAATTGAATAGAAGTCAATTAAGTACTTTTCAGAACTCACTAGCACTGGAAAGGGGAACAAGCAGCTCCTTGACGCTGAGTGGTTAAGAGAGACATCCAGAGAGCAGTTTATGCCACAGGACTTACTACACCCCTTACCTCGCTTTTCCACTGCATCAGGTCACAACCTGATTTGATTTGCTGCCCTAAGTGAGCTTCACACCTTCCCTCATATTCACCAGTGTGTCTTTTTCCATTACCCATGTTTAAAAACAGACTTTAATTTATGGGCATTTAGGGCTGGTGAAAGTCTCCAAGCCTTGGGCTCATGACAGACTATAGCCCCTAAATGGTAA